ATATATATATATATATATATATATATATATATATATATATATATATATATGTGTGTGTGTGTGTGTGATGAATTTATAAAACAATTATATTTTTATAAAACATAATTCCACCTAAATGTTTCATTCTTGCCGTTCTCACCTATGACACAGATAACCACTAACACCAGTCACTCTAACTCCACTATGTTCTACCGAATCTATTATAACCTCATCATTCCTTGCTCGTAGCCCCCTTAGGGTTGGGTTCGAGGAGGGCTATCAGATCCATAGAGGTAGGGGTAGGTCTAGCTAGGATAGAGGGGAGGGGAGTTAGGGTGATGGGGGGTCAACGATCACTTATGCAGTGAGTGAAAATGACAAAGACAAGATGCATAAGGAAAGATTTGATAGGGTATATAGAGGTAAGGGCAGGTTTGAAGATGACAAGTGGGGTTTGTAGAGCTAGGAGCGATGTAGTGAGATGAGGGCGACGATGCAAGATGAGACGAGGGTAAAATGATCTCTTTATGCAAGAAGGGATGCTCTGCATAAAATTGCAGAAGTCGGGATACTTTACGAAAATTTTCTCAAAACTATTTTTTTTAATATACACGTAAAATTTTAGCATGTGGTTTAATTTTATTTAATTTTTTGGGTAAAATTATATATAAATCCCTCTAAACTCAACAGCACTTAAGTTTTGATTAAGCATATCTATAAGAAACATACAATATTGTAAATATAGCCCTGTAGTTTATCTTCTTTAGTTGGAGAAATTCTAATGGCCTATAAAAGCATAATTGCTTACTAATACGATGGTATCAATATTAGATGCCTCGAAGTAGTTGCCATCAAATATAGTTATAATTAGAAGTACTTAAGTTGAGTTTTATGAATAATCATTGAAGGATATATGTATGATGTTAATATTTTGAATGGCATATAAGTTTATATTTTTTCTTTTCGTCGTTGTTGTTATTGTTTCTTGATGGATATTTTACACGAGCTGGAGTTTAAATAAATTTATCTTAGTCTTATCTCAGTAAAACAGTGATCCATGACATAAGGTTAGACAAATATGACTAATATGTATAATGTTGATAGTAAATTCAATAAGCCATTAGAATTTCAACTACTAAAGAAGATAAACTACTTGGCATAAATCGAACATAAAGTAATAACTTGACTTGAAACGAGAAAAACAGGATTACTTTGTGTATAAACATATTCTTATTTCTCATATCGTGGAATTTTATTACTCCTAAATTTTCACTCATAACCCTCAGTCATTCCTCTCAACCATCAGATAACGTAAATTGCGTCTACCAACGGTCTCATGATCCGAACATACTTACAACTCCTCTCAACCGGCGTTCTACTTCGATCAGTATCATATCCGTATCTCTTCACGTGTATTGCACTATGAACAGCTGTACTTCCGAGATCGGCACGTGGTTTGCTTTCACACGGATTGCATTTCTACTTTGGAAACCTCAAAACATAAATTATAACGAAATTATGATTTTTTTGCGTCCACATATTATATATTTGTTGTACTGATATGACGGAAATATTGATGTCGTATATTATATATTTAGCAAAAGAAAAAAAAAATCTCGTTCCCAAAGGTGAGAGAAGTACCAAATCACATCAACACGATGATTTGTCCCCGTTTTTCTGTGACCCACGCTCCTACCTACCATATGAGCTCGAGTTTTAGTGGGCCCCAGCGCCATCATCAATTACAAGACAGGTACAAGTATGAACGCTATCACTGCTGTATCAGTACCAACGTTGTGCTGCCGGCATAAGGCGGAAGTTATGAAATGACGGAGACGGGCCCCACCGGGCCCCCGCTTGACAGTCACTGACATGAAGCCAAGCCGGTGGAGTTCTTTGACCATTATCTGATTCCCACCGTATGAATACGGCAGATTTCATTTTTCGATGTGGTTGTCGTCTTTCGACCTCTTTGCTCCCAACCCTAATTGATTCATCCCTTGTTCGAGAAATCGCCCGAACCCTAGATTTGGACTGGTCCGAAGATGGAGCTAAAGCCCGGAATGTCGGCTATCGTCACCGGTGGTGCCTCCGGAATAGGTATGTCCCTCTCTTTCCTTCAAGTGTGGTATGATTACCCTGCTCTAGTCGAAGATTGGATCGTAATTGCTGTGTTTATATAGCTTAGAGGATTAGAAGATTGAATCGTTGATCGCGTGTTTATATCGGTTTGGGATGAATGTTGTTATCATTTCAACGTAATTTTCGATCCTGCGCGTGATTTGAGACTCTTTTGCTAATTGAATGTTGATGCGAAGTTTATGGATGATCGATGATCCACATGACAGGAACTGAAAGAATATACGAGAGAGATGTTCATTAAAGTTTTATCACCAGTGATATACGTAACGCTAAGTTTACTTTGTTGATTACCTGTTGTTTCTGTTGAACCATTTGTCGATCTTCTGATGTCGGACTTTCGTTCTATTTCATTTTGTCCCTGGGTCTTGTCTCGAACCTTTTTGATTTCGTTCTTGTTGAGAGGCGGATCCTGGGAGGTGCTCTTTGTAATAAAGTTGTCATGGAGGACCGTTTAAGTTGCTATTACCATTTTGTTCTGTATTGTGCTTCTTTCTGCATAAGGATTAAACAAAAAAGTGTGATACTCATAATTCCTTGTGTTAATTATCAAGGATTTAATTGCCACCGGCTGGAAGTAACAGCAAGTTTGTGCCAATTGCCATTGGGCAGCTTCCAACCAGAATGAAGTGTGCTGATGGCAACCACGGTGTTGATTGAAACAGAATGCCCATGAAGATTTAAAAAAAAATGTGAATGCCTTAAATTAGTAAAAATGGATAAACCTATATGTCCTTTCCAACAGTATATTTGCAAAATTTGAATCTTAAGGCGCCTAGGCGAGCGCCTAGTGCCTCGGGGATTTTGGGACCTTGGCGTCTAGCGCTTTTTAAGTCACTGTTTAAGAATCAAGATATATAATTCCAGGTCGGTGCTGATACCAATCAATGTCCAGATGGATATAGCTTTTGCTACAAACCGACATACTGATACTTCAATACCACTCAGTCCAATAGAGCAGGGAAGAATAGGGGAGGAGGACGAGGAGGAGGAGGAGGATTGCCGGATGGGGTGTGAAAAGGAGAAGGAGAAGATGAAGGAGGCAGAAGAATAGGAGGTAAAGAAATGGAGTAAGAGGAGAAGAAGGGGGAGGAAGTGTCAACCTAATGATGAAGCAATGTGGCAGCAACTTGGCTCTTGAAATAGGAGGAAAAGGTAGAGGAGGAGGGGACAGAGAGATGAAAAGAGAAAGAAAGACAGAGAGAAGTGTGTGAGGAAAGCTAAAAAAACAAAATAACAAAAAAAAAAAACCGGTCAAGAGTTGTCGCAAAGAAAAAGATAAGGACAACAAGTGCTAGACTTCTCATCTGATACACCTAGTTTTGACCATAATGTGCTCATTAGGGTTATCAGGTGGTAATCCCTTTCTGGAATGAACCAAGTGAAATTGTCTGATTTGCATTGGTTGGACCAGTTCAATTGGTTGGTTTCTGATACCTGATAGTGGCATTTGAGTCTTTTCTATTTTGACACGAAAAAGAAATAATTTGACTTAGAAAACATACTAAGTTTTTCCTACTTATCAGTGTCCATTAGTCCTTTTCTTACCATCATCTCTGTGGGTTCAGGCCTTTGTGCCACATTGGATGGCTAAATGATCAAGCTACCCTCCACTTTCTCTACTTCCTTGTTCTTTTCAAGCAAAGATGTGAAACAATTAGTAAAAGAGTACATTGGTTCAAAATAAGGTTATAAAACATGTGAGGACCATATAGGAACATTATATATAAATGTGAATCACCCAACATGGAATAATAATTATGTTCAGGGATCACTGATTTTGATGAACTTGTAATATCTTATATAATTTAGAAACAAGATGTTACTCCCTCCACCTAATTTGAAGCTCTATTGTTGTTGAGACAAGGTTTCAAGTTTCAATTGGAAACCTATACTGATCCCTCGCCAGACCTTTATGGGTTATGGGTCAAGTACCTACTAGCATATTACATGGTACATCGGCATGCTGGTTGACAGAGACCAAAAAGAAAGATGGAGAAATGATGAGAGAAGGAGCGGTTGGGCGGAGGGGGAAGGGGAGGAGGGCAAGGATGCTAGGAGGAGGAGGAAGAGCCGCAGATGCTGTGTGGGGGCCTGCTGTTGACAATTGACAACCCTGATGATAGCTGATAGGCTGTCCAAGTAGAAAAATAAATTAAGTTTTGAATCAGATCAGATAAAATTGCGTGGTTCAAGTGCTAATCCTGGTCGGATCGGTAAATACCGGTTGGTACTAACTGGTCAGATTAGCTTTTCTAAACTTTAGTTATAGGTATCTCATATTGATTAGTTTTCTTTTTTAGGGACAGGGCAAAGTGCAGGATACCTATTTTATGGTTATGATTTCATGTTGCCTCGTACAGTTTACTTCATGATACTTAACCCACCTTAGGTTTTCTTTGTTTGTCAGAATACCTTTTCATTACCAACCTCAGTAGAAAATTAAATTATGGCTAAAGAAATCTTGATCAAGGAATGTCATATCATGTAGTGGACTCAAATTGATTGCTGCCCGGACTGGTACATACCAGTTGGTATTGGTATTCTCGACACATGGTATACCAGTATGCACCGGTGTTTCGAAGATGAAGAAGGACAAGAGGAAGGCACAATGGAGGAGGAGGACAAAGAGGAAGGAAGAAAAGGTGGTGGAGGAAGAGGAGGAGGAAGAAGGAAGAAGGAGGAAGAGGAAGCAGTGGAGGAGGTGGAAGAAGGAAGAAGAGAAGGAGGAGAAGAGGAAGGAGCGTATGAAGGAGGTAGACTGTGGTGAAAAATATCGGTGGCAAAAATTACAGTGGCAACGTCGAACAGAAGCAACGAGGTGAATGACAGCGACGACAGCGTCGGTTCCACGTGCCCCACGAGAAGAAGTGAAAAATAGCAGTGGCAGAAATAGCGGCAGGAAAGCTGAACGGTAGCAGTGAGGCGAATGACAGCAGCGGCAGCGTCGGTTCCACGCGCCCCATGTGAAGAAGCGAGCCCTAACTAGTGTTTAAGTTTTCTTTTTGTTTTTGTATTGAGTTGGACTAAACAGACTTCCTTGATCTTGATATTTTAATTTTATATTCTATAAGGTGAGGATAATTTTAATCATGAAATAGAACATATAAAATTTGGAAAAGGGTGTAAACTTGGCATATTTATACAAATAGATGCCTTCATAAATGTGTGGCAGAATGATGCCAGTAACAAGTGCTTCATAAGTCCCTCATGAATGGCATGTATTTGTGATGTCAATGAAATGCTATATCAGAACTATAGTTATTGATACATGTGATACTTGTGTCATGCTCATGTAGGATAAAGATTGTCAAAACAGGCCCTCATATGTGCCACTTCAGCACTGTGTCATAATAATAGCAACATGAACATCACATTTGACATCATAATATCACAAGTTAACATCAAATTGACAAGCACAATTATGCCATTTCTCGTGTTGATATTTTCTGGTATTCTTTATGTTAGGTGGTAACAGAGCTAAAACACTGATCTGTATCCTTTGATTACTTCATTGTTTAATCACACTTCAACTTGGGTTGTGTTATTAACTTCTTATTTTCTTCTTAACTAGAATGAGTTTTGTTGACTAGCATAGTATACTTACTGGAACTATTGCTTGATTATAGTAATGATAGTTGAATCATCAAATATTAAATTTGAAATGCATAAAAGTTTTTAACAATTTTTGTTTCCTGATGGTGCTTTGATAGTGATGTACGATAATCTTATCTATTGTTATCATATGAGTGATAGAAGCTAAAACTCAAGATGTTTCCAAAATTAGGCAGTTTGGGAGTTCTCCTTGCTGTTTTTTTACTTCTATTTATCTTTCCATGATGTAGCAGACCTTGAAACACATGCTAACATTTTGATTCATTTTCTTTTATAGGTAAAGCACTTAGTATGGCTCTTGCACAGAAGGGCATTTTTGTAACTGTAATTGACTTCTCCGAAGAGAAGGGAAAAGAAGTGGTCTTGTTGATTGAAAGGGAGAACACAAAGTTCCATCCAGAACTTAAGTTTCCATCGGCAATATTTGTTAAATGTGACGTTACCGATACAAGTAAGCTTTCAATTATTACCTTTTTCAGTATATTTCTTGTAGCTACTCTTAAATACCTTATGATGATTGTGCTTCTGTTGAAATACAAGAAGCATCAGTATATAGCTTTTCCTTGATCTCTTACAAGTATTAGGATTGACCCTCTCTAGGGTTTTGTTCAGTGCTAGGACAGAGACCTCCCAAATTATCGTTTGTTGCTGGAAAAATAAGTGAAGTTTAACAAAGATGACAATCAGAAAATGAAAGAAGTCTAACAAGACTTATACATGGTACTACATTGGACAATTTTATTAACAATAATAAAATGTTTGGACTGGAATAGTCCTGAGAAGATGACTTTAACTTCTCTCTTTTTCCCTTTGTCTGATACCCTATTTTTTGATGATTTATTGTTCTACAAGATTTATCCGTAGCACAGTAAGAAAAAATTTAGATCAGAATAGTCCTAAGAAATGGGCTTTACCTCTATCTTTTACTCTTTATCTGACACCCTATATTTTGATGATCTGTTGTTCCCTTAACTCCTAGAAGAGTTGTATGACACTTAGAGACAAGGCCGCCCATTTTTTCGAGTCTATGGAGGAATTGTGGGATCTGGTTGGACTTAATGATGTGGACTGCATTGGATGAGGTTATGGAAAGTGGTGCAGGCTTGCAAAGTAGGACGTTTTATTGACTTGCATTAAATAACTCATCCTTCCTCATCTTGCCTTTCTCTCCAAGGCAAGAACTCTGAAGATTGTTGGAGATCATTGTGAAGCTCCCAAGTGCCATCATCCTGCAAACAAATGTTGCATCTGACAGGAATATTTATTTTAAAATTTCCATTAACTTGATAGTTGTTGGAGCTCAGGACTTGTGTCAAAACATGTGGTAGATCCTCATTCAACATAACATGAAGCATTGGCGATAGTTTAGGCTCTTGCAACATAGTCTGAGCTCTATTGTGTGAAATATATCATGAATGCATGAAATGGAAGGAAACTGTTAGCAATAAGCAGTAGACCAAATGTTCTCCAGCACCTGAATGGGCATACAGAATTAAGGGAAGATCTTGCTTAGTTTATTAAATAGATTGAAAGTTGTCTGTATAGGAAAGAATTATTAAATTTTGGGAATTGATACATAATACACCAAGGGCTGATCTATAATACCATGAGGACTGATCAATAATACTTGAGGATTGATCTGTATTATTCAAGTAGTAATAATTTAAAATATTTTGAGGATCGGAGGACCCAATTTTAAATTGATTATCATCTTGATCGATTTAAAAAAGATCTTGATATCTTTGGATTTTCCTTAAAATTGAGTGTTTTTCAAAACTAATTATTTGGTGAACTTTTGAACTGCTCCTTTGACTAATAATCTTTTTGCTTGCTGCATTTATATATTAGTTATCGATGCACATTGAAGATTTTTTAAGCTGAAGTAACAGTAGTTACCCATTAGACTCTTATAAGTCATTCTAAGTCTTAGCCCACTTTCGATATGCAACTAAACTGGGGTATTATACTAAGCCTGGTTAGCAAATCCAGGCTATTGGTTGTTAGATATGCTGAAGATGGTTCCTCACATTTGTAAGGGGGACATATGTCCACCATAGTGCATGGAACACTACTCATTTTCAGTGATGATTTGGAGTGTGATATGGAATGATCTGTCGTATCTATAAGATTATAAGATGATTGTTCTATCCCGAGTAATTGGTGGGTCCTAAATTTAGTGAGTCTGAGTATTGGGTGTACTCTTCTCATGAGATTCTGTGACATGGAGGTATATGATTTCAATGTATCATGATAGCTCAATGGTCGGATGGTTGTTCAGGGTGGAAGCAGAGCTAGAGAGTTAATATGGTTCTAATAAATGTGAACAATATATGAGAAAATATATAACATTATGTTATGACTTCTTGAAGAAAGGTTTATGCATGACACGATCTTCTTGAGTTACAAGTTGAGTCAGACCTGAAAATAACACTTTCTTTTGGTATTTGCGACCTCTATGTACCAGTATGTCAGTCCATACCAATGACCTATATGTACCAGTATGTCAGTCCATACCAAGACTGAACTGATTTGTCTGCCATTCGGTATCAGCACTGGACCAGAATCTTAAACCTAGTGAGTGGTGTGGACTTGAAGAGGGAGCATGGGCTAGTGCGCTTGCATTTTAACTTCTGTCTTATAGTCTAGTAACTGCTTAAATTTTGAACCAGAACCAGGTATAGTAATTATTGGCCTTTTGGAGCCACTGAACTTTAGTGTAGCATTGAGTTCATGTAATCTTATATTGAGCCATGAATTGAAGTTAATGATCTGATCTCCAATGAGCTCTGTTTGTTGTGTTAGGTGGCAATGTGTGTCAGCCTAGGGAGGGTTAACATATTGCTCTTTAAGAGGAGAATTTGTCATGCTATCATTGCTTTTTTAATGAGTTACTTTCTACCTAGATCATTAACATCTTTCTTGTTTTGGCTCTTTCTCCTGCATTTAAGAGAACATCCTGTAAATCACATTGACTAATTGTTTTTACTTTTCTCTTTTTCTTTAAGCCTTTGGAAGAAAAGGAAGTTGCTACATTTTGTGAAAATTGTCTTCCTTTCATTAATGTCAGCTGCTTTACTAGGAAAAGAACAGTACTACATTACTTATCTTCACTTCGTCTACACTTTTATATGTGAAATCATGCGGGTGACATTAATTTTCATTGTGCCCATATAAATTGTTAAGTGGCTTAGTAAAGATCATATCTTCCTGGGAACTCAGTCCATCCATAATTTGTTCCATAATTACCTTAGGATAACCAAGAAATTGGCAATATTCTGTCCTCATCAAGTATATGCCAATCAGATCATTTTGTTTCAGCGTTCTTATTTCTAATGTTTAATCATTTATACATATTTTAGCAACATGAGAACTTCAATGTCATCATCATTTTGATTATCTGACATGTATTATCATTTATCAACACTATATGTCATTCTAAATATATCTAATATTTAAACCATCTGTATCTTGTGTGTACAACCTCTTTTGTGCTTTATGTAAAGCGTTGTGTCATTTCTAGATGGTCTAGCTGCTGCTTTTGAGAAACATTTAGAGGTGTTCGGAGGACTGGATATCTGCATCAACAGCGCTGGAATTACTCATCATATCTTGTTTCATGAAGATAAAACCAATGGGATTGACACTTGGAAGCGTACCATAAATGTAAACCTGACTGCAGTTGTTGACTGCACCCGCATTGCGGTATGCTTCAACTCAGTTACTCAGTTATAATTTCAGAAGTAAACTTAAGTAACCAATTTATGAGAAGATTCCTGGATGAATTTACATATTTGATGATGCATTCTTTAAATTTCCTTTTTTCATATTAAGACACTGAATTGTAATTTCTTCAGAGTTCAGACAGACATGGGATCTTGTACAAATTGTTTTAGAGGTTTAGGGTTTACTATGTTGAAAATGCCAGCAACTAGATTCTAGAATGGACATATAAAAAAACGCTCTGTTGCATGTGGTTTATATGCTAGGGGACCTTATCATGCTTGTGGATTGTATGTGGAGGCTTCCTAGGCTCAGTAGCTCCTAACTCCTAAGATACTTATGAAGTACAAAGTAGGGATGGTGTCAATGGGAACCAATGCAAACTAAAAATAAGATGCAAGCTTTATGGGCCAATTTTAGGAAATTAGACAGTAAGGTACTTGAAAGGATAGTGCAATAACAACATATCAGTCTCACCTCCAACAAATGCTTCTGTGATTTGAATTCAATAAGAAGTCCCTCATACTATCAACTAGAGAATTAAATTACTAAGTAGAGGCAAAACCAATGCAGGTGGCTCCCAGTAAGTAAAACCACCAAATTGATTGCCACATCAGCATCCAACACTTTTTCTTGCTCTGACCTCCTGCCAAAATTAACCCAAAATGGGGCTGAACAAAGGTCCTGCACTGGTCAAGCCTGGCCTGACTTTTGCTGGCCTAGTCCATGCACAATAACAAGATCATTGTGATGAGAGTTAGGATCATCATCTTGTGTATCTGGAAATATTAAATATAAAATGATTTCACTTGTGAAAGAACTGGGGAGAACTCTCTAAATATAAAATGAGAGAAAACTAATTTAGGTGATTCAAAAAGAATTGTAATAGTGATGAGAAGACCAGGTCAGAAAATTCAAATAGGAACCCAAGAGGATGTAGTCAATGTTAATAAAAAGGGAAATGACATCATTAGATTTTCTTGGTGCAGACTGTATGAGTGGTATTGATCCATGCTGAGTGTCTGTACAGCCATAACAGTCACTGTCTGGTCATTGATCAACCAAGATTTTAATCCTTGATTGACATATATTTGAAGGAACTTGTTCATGGTTAGAATATGGTATGCTTAGGTATTGATTTGTTTAACTTGGCATGCCATTGTTTGCCTTTAGATGAAATATAAATATCGGTGACATATAATTGTAAAATTATGTATATAAATACCTTTTTTTTTGGTTCTTTGCTTACTTGCTTTCAGATTTCTGTATCAATATCTCTCCATATTTCTTTTGCCGAATTAGTAGCCAGTTCATGATGGTGTTGAAGCTTTTCTATTTTTTCTTTATAAAAATATCTACAGATTCAAATAATGAGGTATAAAAAGAAGCCTGGTGTCATAATAAATCTTGGCTCAGCTTCAGGTCTTTATCCTTTATATGCTGACCCGATCTATTCTGGCACAAAAGGTTTGACTTCTCCTAGTTCTTTTGGTTTAACAGAAAAAGCTATATTATCTTATAAACACTGCTCTTTAACTTGTGTAAACTTCTATTTCATCATTGCTCTAGATATATGATAACCTCATATTCATAAAAAATTTAATGCATGCAAACTTGATTTGATGTTGACTATGGTATGCAGTATTGAATGGTGCCGCCCGGTACAGGCGGTACGTACTGGTCCGATGGCATATTGGTACGCAGAACGTCTGGTACCAGACGGAACGTGCTATAGTGCTACAGTATTACACTGTTGTAATGAAAGGAAATATATAAAATTATTCGGTACACCCTGGTGTACCGCTCGATACACTCTGGTGTACCGCTCGGTATGCTGGTACCGCACTATACTTAGCCAACCTCGAAACACTGGTACGGTACGGTATTGCATACCTTGATGTTGACTATTATTTTTCATGTTGATCGTAAATTCTTTTACCTCATTATCAACAACTGGTTTGCTTGTTATATGTTTTGGTATGTCAAGGAAAGGTGCAAATAAATACATTTTCTAGCTCCTTATCCTACTTTTGTGGACATCTAAGTTTTACAACTGCATTGGGTAGATAAGATATATTAATCTTTAAGTGAATTTTTGATAGAACATCAGGTTGCATGTGAGAACTCAGAACTTACAATTGCAAACTGAACTCACACAATATTGTGATTCAAGATTCCATAATGTTTAATCTGTTTTTGTATCTGGGTGTTTGATATACAGTTATTGCTGCCTTCTTGTGGACATATAAGGTTTGCAGGTTCATAGAGCTTATTTTTTGGAATGATATTTATAGAGGGCTTATTTTTTGTTTCTCAAAAGGTAAAATTTAACCGAACTTTAAAAACAAGAATTTATGTACTGTATAATGGTTCCATTGCTGTGTGATAGCTTACTCCTTCATCATGGATTAGTTCTGTAAGGGGATCGTTGGTATTAATCTAGGTATATCTTTTAAAAGAGCCCTTTTTGATTTTTGTATTGTAAATTGATATGCCTGAGTGAGCTGACTGGACCATATAAATTGCAATTAATTCATTCATCTAGATTTTTTAGGAATTCAGCAAAGGGCCAACAGTAAACTCCTTGACTGTGATTCCCCATGTATGATCTAATCAGATTTTTAATCCAATTAGAGGCCAGATAAGAGGAATAGATGTGTCAGCCCATTAAACCTATATATATACATATATTTATTGAAATCTCTCCTCTCTTTCTTGCTATTTCTATCTTTCCTCTTTTTTACTCTGATTTTTCTTTTCTTCCTTCAGACAGGTTTGTGTTGGCATGACAGATTATGACATGACTTGAGCTAGCTGCTGGCTGGAATAAATCCACATTTTATAATTAACTATTCCATTTTTTATTTTTGCTATACGTGAATTCAGAAACTACTTTGTGCAGGTGGTGTGGTTCTCTTCACTAGAGCACTTGTTCCTTTGAAACGTGAAGGGATTCGTGTTAATGTGCTTTGCCCCGAGGTATTAGATCATGCAGCCTACAGTTCTGTTTTCTCGTTGGGAGTTGCTTGGAATGAGATCCAATTGACCGTTATTTGGAAGTGCTATATGCGCTCTGCTTAGTTAACAGATCAACTTTCATTTTAGTATTTATTAGATGACACCACTTCTTTAAGATGTCTGCACTTCAACCCATCAAGTGCCCCATGTAAACAACAAATACCTGAAGTCTGTTAGCACCGTCAATACTATATTGACCATTAATCTCTCTTTTTCATACATTCCCTTTTTTCACTGCCACCTCCTCTACCTCTTCCACTATGATAGCATGACCACTGCCTCTGTTCCCTCCCTATCCTCCCCGGCCACCATTTTACCAATGCCAAACTGTCTTGTTATGTCCACTGCCATCACCAGCTCTACTACCATTATCACCACCACCACTTCCTTTCCCATCCTACTAGAACATCATCTCATCGTTTGTACCAGTTTATGCAGAGTTAAACTAATGTCTTGTATTAGATCTAATGATTTTTTTTCACAGTTTACTCGTGCTGGTTGTCTGATCTATTGCAGTTTGTTCAAACTGAGATGGGATCAAAAATAAACCCCAAAATAGTTGATGCAGTTGGTGGGTTCCTGTCTATGGACACAGTGGTTAATGGTATGTTATTTACTTATTTTTGAACTATGGTACTTGTTTGATGCAAGTTCATTTCTTTGCTTTCTGAAATTATCTTTGAGGGAAGGTATATCTTGCCTTAGCTTATTACTATTCTTTCACCTTCTTAATTGTGTTGATCTTTCAACTTCTGTATACTTCTCCACAAGGTCCGCCATACCGTACCGTACCGGAGTTTCGACTCGGGCTCGGTACGGTACGGTACCGGTGTACTAGGCGGTACACTAGGGTGTACCGATACTGTAGCAGTACTACAGTGTAGCACTGTAGCGGTACAGAGCGGTCTGCGTACCGAGTACTTGGCGGACCGGTACATACCGCCCGGTACGACCGGTACACTTCGGTACGGCAGACACTGCTTCTCCATAAGGTCCGTCATACCGTACCGTACCGGAATTTCGACCCGGGCTCGGTACGGTATGGTACCGGTGTACCGGGTGGTACACCAGGGCATACCGAGCGGTACACCCTGGTGTACCGATACTGTAGAAGTGCTACAGTATAGTACTGTAGCGGCACAGGGCGGTCCGCGTACCGAGTACCTGGCGGACCGGTACGTACCGCCCGGTATGGCCGGTATGCTTCGGTACGGCAGACACTGCTTCTCCATCAACGTAACTCTACTTGCTTCAAATCTGCCGAAGAATCAGTTTAACTTATATTTTTGAGTGCATTAAGATACATGTGAATACCCTAGATTCTTCTTAGTATTACGCATATCAGATATGTGATGGAGACATTTATTTGCCTTTTTGTGTATCTTTGTGTTTTACTAGTTTGATTTATGTGGCACTCTTGACTTGGTGGATTCTGAAATAACAAAGTTTCCTTAGAACCAGTTTTTCAAAATCCAAGCCATGGTCACTTGAATGCAATCATATGTTGAGGAATATAGACTTTTCAATTTTCAGAAAAATATCCACCCTTTTTGTCCATCTAATATATAATGTTATGGGACTTAGCCTTTCTTGATGTTCTTGATAAATGTGTCTCGAATTTCTCTGCTTCACATTAACTAGGTGCAATAGAGCTTATTAAAGATGAGAGCAAAGCTGGTGCTTGTCTGTGGATAACAAGACGTAGAGGAATGGAGTATTGGCCTACACCATCAGAAGAAAGAAAGTACTTAATAAGGCCATACAAGTCTCGAAGAAGAATCCAATATACAACAACTTCTGACATCCTTATACCAGATACCTTTGAGAAAGTGTAAGCCACATCCATTCTGTTGTCTTTTAGGCTTTTACCAAAGCCATTATGATATATTTGGTTTATGCTGGTTATTGGTATCTAACATTATCTTTTCTAAGGAGTTTTGGCATAGTTTCCCCATTATTGTATAATAATGTATAAACTCAGAATGTTGCTGCTTTAGATTTTTGTAGCCTTCATCTTTAGGAAAATTTAGATAATACTTGGTCTAATGTTAAAATTCAATCTATTTGCTAGTATGTGTCTACTCTTGTGCTGATTGGCTACTAGTGTTGGACATAGTAAATATCATGTCATGTACTGTACAAGCTGTGCCATGCTTTTTGAAACATATTAGAGTGGGCTGTGCCTCACAATTGTCCATATTCCTGTATGGCATCGCTGTGACAAATATCATCGCAGATTCTTAGCGAGAATGGCACATCGATCAACTTTTGCCATTTTTTAGTCTGTTGGAAAAATGTCAACTGGATGCTCACTTTCTTTTAAATTAGATAACCAACCATTATTCTATTCCTTGCCAATTATGATTTTTAATCATTGACATTTTCAAGTTGAAATGATGAAACTGTTTGGACATGAATTGCAATTTATTATTGGGAAATCTTAGATTAAAAATGTGAGATAGAGGTGAAATTTGAAAATGTTCTTATATTCACAAGTCACAGCTATGTGTAAGCTATCACTTGGTTAAAAAATAAGATAAAGGTTCTAATGTTCATACGTTCACGAGTACTTGTAACCTTTCACTTGAACATGAGAGTAGCAGTCAAGATTGTGATCTTGTGACATATTATTGCTTCTTATTGCTTTCTGCCTGTAGGTGCCAGTTCAAAGTGATGGTAGTACCATTTTTTATTTTCAGGCTATTTCCATTTAAGCTTTCTTATTAATCGTAGGGCTTGTAATTTAGGAGAGCACTTCTGATTTCTGAACCATCAAGGAACTCTAGCAGCACCTCCTCAGTGTTTAGCAGTTTATGTTTGCTAGGTAAAGAAGTAAAGAACATAAGCCTGACTAATAAAGAGTAAAAATTTAATTGTGGTTTATTGTAAATGAGGGTAATGATCCAATGCAACATTGTTGCTGCCAAAGGGTTCTCTCTCTCTCTCTCTCTCTCTCTCTCTCCTTTGTGTATTTCCTAAGTTCATGATACTCTGATCACTGTAAGTGCCCTGGTCTATGTAATGGTACTTGCTAGAAACCTGAAGTAAATTCCAAAAGCATACACCAAAGATGAAGATAAAGCAACTTCAACAGATTCTTTTGTTGATTGAACAAAATGGTTCTTACTGTAGTGGATAAATTCATTGGGAATGGTGCTCCATGCTAAAATACTACTATGCATTCCTATATAGGCTCTTGACTTTGGAGGAACTCTTCATGTTTCAAAGGCCTTACAAAGTCTCCTAATAAAGCAAACTTTTTCACATCAGCATAGAAGGATAGACCAATAGTTCATTCGGGTAATTTATTGTTCAGAAAAAATTGTAGTTGCATTGGCACAGATGGTTTGGCGGCTTTGGCCACTAACCAAACAGAAATTATTGATTATATTCTGCTTCTGTTCCTTTACCAAACATGCTTTGCACCCTCTATTCCAAAATTCAATATTAAATCATTACATACTAAAACTACGTTGCTCTAGGCTTCATGGAGAAAGAAAATAATTAAAATGGAATGGATGTATAACAGATATCTAGGGTTGGAGGAATAAGAGACTTTTCAGATGAATATCAAAAGATACCATTAAGGCCTCTTTCAGATGATTTATATCTGGTATAATTAAAATTCCTGCAAGAAGACAGTACCCAGCCTTTTTGTTCTTCTACCTTGGTTTTGTCAGAATAAAATGTGAAAAATGCTGACATATCTCTGTAGATTATGTGTCTGTTGGATTAACATTTAGCAGATGCATAATTTGGAGTCTGAGGTTTGGTGAATTTTTTTGAAGTTTTCCAGATCAAGTATTGCAATTTTGGATATCACACTAGTGCTGATTGTTGGCTGAACCTATATGGGTCTGGTACAAACCAACGTACCAACACATGGCTGGTACTACTGCAGTACCAGAAGGTGGGAGGAGAAGAAGATAAGAAGAAAGAGAGTTGGAGGAGAAGATAAGAAGATGAGGGAGGAGGCGGCGGCAAAGGAGGAGTGGCAGACAAGGATGAGGAGGAGAGGAGTACCATCGATGGGCTGAGATAATGAGAGAGAGGGTGGGAGGTGATTGGGGGCAAAGAATAAATATAAAAGAGGCTTATCATCTGGTCCAGGCCTAGGAAACTTTGTTTCACATGTAGATAGTCCAAAATTGGATGTTCCATGTCCCTGCGAAATTGCAGTCCTTGATCCTGATGTATAATTAATTTCATGCAGTGTGTTTGGTATTGTAGACTGTAGAGACCACAAAGAATTAGCTATATATATATATATATATACCAGTTTCTGGGATAAATTAAGGCTGAAAGATTCAACCAATAATAGCTCTGATTTTGGGGCTACCTATGTCTTTAACATGTAAATGAAGATCTGATAGGACTAGTTACTTGAACTTAAATTGAGTAATTGCTTACGTCCATCCATGCTAATAAAGTGGTCTGGAAATATCTTGTGAATTCTTGTTTTTATTGCTGATGTAGCCTGGATGAACATAGATGTAAAGAACTAATCAGCTCACAGACTTGTGGTGGTATAAATATGAAAGCTTTGAAGGATAAGTTAACAATATGATCGACAACTTTTTCTTTTTCATTATTTCATCTTTTTTCCTTTGGTGTAGCTGGTATTAATGTTGTTGATAACATATCATGTTAGTGTTTGTTTACTCATTGCATCATTATTTGTTTTATGATTCTTCCTGGACAACTTTTGTCTCCCTCCATAGTTATAATTTACATGGCTTGGTATATCCAGTAAATGTGTTGACTGTTAACTATTGAAATGTTCACATATTTTGATGGTAATTCATGAGTATGTAACTCTCTCTGGGAGAACCTTGTTAGCTTAGGTTTAGTAGAGAATACCTTATTATTATGTTGGTATTGCCCTCCACAATGATAAATGATAGGAAAAGATCCATGTAGCCAACCCTAAATGGTTAAGACATTACGGTTTGTTGTTTGATTATCTTTTGTGGAACAACTTATGCTAACATCAACATTTGGAGTAGAAGTTTCGTGCAAGGTTCATAATTTTGTGTACTGGTACTGTGCCAGTTAGGGGTCAGAATGGTAGGGTATCAGTCTATACCAGTGTATCGAGTTTCAATACGGTAATATGTATCAAGTCTCAAAAAAAGCTTTAAAAAGCCGAAAAACATAAATTAACAGAAACTGCATAATGCAGAGCTTGTACCGCCCTATACCAGGCGTTATTGACCCTTTGCCGGGATGAATGCGAACTGGGTTGTACGCTTGGTAGAGGTGGTCAAGTTTCAATACGACAAAACATATCGAGTCTCGGAAAAAGCTTTAAAAAGCTGAAAAAATAAAAAAAAGAAACTGCATAATGCAGAGCTTGTACCGCCCTAGACTGGGTGTTATCGACCCTTTACAGGGATGAGTGTGAATGGGTTGTATGCCTGGTATCACACCTATACTGGGTGTTACCGACCCTTGTCTGGATGGTATAGGGTCTAATATCGGGGTACAACCCAGTTTACACTCATCCATGTACCGGTAACCTATCAGACTGATAACTACCACACTTACTGAATCATACTATACCGGACAGTATTGCAAACCTTGGTTATATGACATAATGTTTTGACTAAGATGCTGGCCTATGTTTTTCTTGGTCTGTAGTTAAATTTTTAGAAGCTGACATTTTTCTCTTTGTTTTTGGATGGCCAAAAGAAAGTTTAAGATAAATACTCACTGGTGCAGTAAACAGCTGGGAGAATTAAAAGCAGTAGATGTGAAAGATACAGTTGTTGCAGCTAGCAAATTCACTGTTTAGATATTCTGACTGCTGAATCTAATGTTTTCTATTGGACATCAGAGTTCATTCCTGTAAATTCTGTTATATTGGTCATTAGATATCTATTAGAATTTAACTTTGTTGTTTTTATGTAGGATTGTCCACTCTCTGGATCACAATTTTCGATTTGCTACAAAGGTTGTTCAAACAGAGTTGAAGTTGCCTATAAAACCACACCATGCCCTTGTCAAAATCATATATGCTGGTGTGAATGCCAGTGATGTATGCTTGTGATCTTAACTATTTAACTTTTTAAATATGTTATAGTTTACTTTTAAGTTTCCTATTAATCTGATGTGATAAATTATGACACATCTGACAGGTAAACTTTAGCTCTGGGCGATACTTTAAAGGCAAAGTTAACGAAATTGCTGCACGGCTTCCATTTGATGCTGGTTTCGAGGTTTTGCAATATCATATTCATAAGATCATATAAATTTGGTTAACTGGCATCTATGAAGCACAGAAATGAACAATATGTTTTGATAGGATGTGATATAAATGTGAAGATAAGACAAAACCTGAAAACATTTGCACTAGTACATATCAGAAATTATTGTTGATTTAAAACACTAACTCTGATGTTTCTTTAGATCAGCAGACGTGTTAGGGAATATCATAAGTTTGTTTGTCAAGAAAAAGCTATTTTTATTTTCTATGTCTACTACAATGGTTTGAATTTCAATCATATTAATTGGTAAAGAGTTCACCGTTCCAATTGTGAACCATTATCTGGACCAGGTCCGATCTAGTTTGACACTAGGCTTGCCACCTAGTACATTTACATATCAAGCGTGTCGTCCAGTAACCTTCTTGGGACTGAGCTATTACTGAATCCTTTATGGTCCTAGTATGTTGGCAGATAGATGGAGTGTGGGCCGAGGAATAAAATGATGATCATAGTGCACACAAATTCACCTTATTAGTTTTCTGTCAGAAAGGAAAGGGGATGAGATGAGAGAAATTATACAAGATCGAAGCCAGACATGAGTTTGTAGCTGGTGTAGCCTTTCAATTGGCATAGATTTTATTGATCACAATTTGATGTCAATAATTTGTACTCGTTCACTAAACCTCATGCTCCATATGGTGCACAACACCAGTAAAGTGATGACAAGAGCAGTTCGTTTGCTCAGCATCGACGCAACTGTACTTGCTTCATTCCTACTTTCCGCAACCCTACTTGTTGCAACCTAGTTGCTCCAAGCCTAGCCAGTTACCAACATGTTAGCTAGTATGCATGCGATACTTAGTGACCAACTTGCCACGACTCTTTACTAGTTTGATTCATTTATGGTAGACATATATTACTATCAGATGTCATGCATGGGTTTTTGAAAACTATAATTATGAATTACAATTAACTTGATGATCATGACCCATGTCTTACGCTAGCATGATGATTCTATTGGTGATAGTAGTTACTGATAAGGGGCATGTATAGTTGTTAACTTCTGGTTTATCTATGCATTTACAAATATTTTAAAATTTCAATATGCTGCTCCAGCACTTTTAGAAGCTTTTTGCACATATTCTCTTGATTTATCCTTTTCAATAGGTCTTCATAACATATTTCATTTCAATATTAAGCAATAAAACCAAAAATACCAGTCAGTTTGACTGGTAATGATGGTAACGGTATCAGATTGTGATTTAATCCTTGGTCTGCTATTTGATGTAAATCATTAATCCATGGACAAAAATACCAGTATTGGGTGGTACTAGCACACTGTAAAATGTAACACTCCAATGGACAGCAAGGATAAAATACAAACAGATTTAATTCCTTGGTCAAACTGAATTGATATAATTTGACGATAAAGATCCATTGTACATCAGCTGTTGCTCCATAAAATTGTCCCAAAACCAAACTTGTAAAGTTTATTATTATTCCTCTTATCAATTATTAAATGGTCAACTGTCATGAGTAGTATTCTTCCTGAAAGTGTGTGTAGGAATTATTTCCCAATGCAAAATATTTGAATTCTTATCTTTACTTTAGTGTAGGTAAGTAGATAAAGTTTTGTGTGATATTTTGACATATTAACACTAGTAATTGGTTACCATATTATGTATACATTTGAAAGTATTTTTCTTTTATAGTTTGGCATTGTGGCTTGCCAAAAGAACAATCATTCCTTGGTTGTATTTCCTTTTATTGTCGTAGTCATAATATTAATGAAATGCTCATTACAATACACTAATCATGTACCATCTCCAATGACAAAGTGCAGTGATGATTAATCTGAATATTAATTCTAACCCTCTTTGATGCTATTTCCTTGCTAAACTAAAATTTCTTTGTCCAGGCAGTTGGCATAATTGCTGCTGTTGGCGAGTCGGTCCATCTGAAAATTGGAGCCCCTGTGGCATTTATGGCTTTTGGAAGCTATGCTGAATTCTCAGTGGTTCTTATTTTTGGCATTCCTTTATTTCAGTTGGGCTTGCCAAATTGGCAGTTACATATGATTAACATCAGCTTTCAATGTTTCTACCTCTGTATTTTTGTACTTTTTCAGGTACCTGCAAAGCATCTTCTTCCTGTTCCAAGACCAGATGCAGAGGTTCTTGCGATGCTAACATCAGGTTTGACTGCTTCAATTGCTCTAGAAAAGGTATGGTTGAAATATTATATTTCTTTCTTTCTTCATATATAGAGACTTCCATTCTTTTATGAACACTTGAAGTGTAGCTTCTTCCTCTTTAGATCTATTTACTGGAATTACTTACACTAGATTCGAGTTTTAAGGATTAAATTGTCATGGTATTCTTTTTTATATAATTTTTACTGTACTTGAAGCTAGATCGTCATAAGTCATCCTAAAAACCAACAACAACAACAACAATGCCTAATGTCCCAACTATTTGGGGTCCGTTACATGGATATTTTACCACCAATCATCCTAAACATCATGTTGATTACATGCTATTTTTCTAGGCTGGACAAATGGAATCTGGACAAGTAGTACTAGTGACAGCAGCAGCTGGAGGTACAGGACAGTTTGCAGTTCAGGTATGCCATTGCTATGTTCTTCTCTTTTTCCCAACCAAAGGGTCATTATTTTTGTTCATTGGTTCCAGCATTTTTTAGTGGAAATTAAAGTTTTTGAGTAAATGTTGATCAGTTGACAGTAATCTTACTCTTTTGTTTTTTGCCTTTTCTTTTGCTTTTTGCTCTTTTGTACTTTTCTCATATTCCTAATAAAATAGCATTGGAACATTGCTGTATTTGCCTAGATCTTAAATTATTTTATGTTTGAATATCCTGTTTCTGGAGGCACAGGTCTTAATATATAATGTTAATCCTCTGCGATTTGTGAATCCTGAACTCCCAAAATATTCACTCAGCGGAAAAGCTGCTTGGATTTGGCACTTGCTAGACCCTAAATGGAATGATCATCAGGCAGAAGGCTGTACTTTTTACATGATTCCACTGTTGACATTTTCTAATATTTCTGTTCATAGCATCCCTCGTTGCTGCACTCTTTAATAAATAACTAAAAATTATTAGTTATCTTGTCTTTTAGAATGTCATGTGACACCGAAAGCATCGATTGTGCCTTCCACATTATGATGAATATTAAGCTGCCAGTTTTCAATTTGTGTACCAACAAATTTACCATGTCAATGTTATGTTTTACTGAGGTTCAGTTACGTTATTCACCATTTTCAATTCTTTTCTGTTATCTATGATGCAAATTAAACTAGAATTTCTCTTGATAGCTGGCAAAATTGGCTGGCAATAAAGTGGTTGCAACATGTGGAGGTGAAACGAAAGCTTCACTATTAAGGTCCTTGGGAGCTGATCGTGTTATTGATTATAAGAAGGAAAACATAAAAGATGTATGTTTCTATTATTCCTTCTGCTCTTGATTGATTCTCTGTGAAATGTCATGGACGTAACTTGATTTATGTTGCTATCTATTGTATTGTTACTGTTTTTTATTTTGTTGGTTGATGCACTAACTTTCAATATAAATCCATTTTAGCTGCTGGATAGTTTATTAATATCTCATATCAATTGGACATTGTTTTGTGATACCAAAATTTTGATTGCATTTGTATGTGTTCATACATGAGTTCAATCCTTATGTAAATGAAATATGTTGATAATGTTAACGATAATCATTGATCAATATTTACTTGTTTATGAACCCAGAAGTATGGTTTGCAATACTGTACAGTATCTGTCGGTACAAACATACCAGTCTGATAAACGATCGGTACATGCGGTATATCAGTATATCTTAGTGTACTATGTGTCGGTATGTTCGTTACAGCTTGGTACAGTTCGGTACATACTATACCGACAACTGATCGGTATACTGGTACGGTACGGTATTCAGAATCTTGCCCAGAACTACTAAGTTCTGATTTGAATAAAGGGAAACAGGCAGGACATGACTACATATAGCTTTGGTTGTTCCATTCATATGCAAGTAAGATGTTAACCATCAGATCTTATCTACCTTGACTTGTATACAAGCCTTATTAAAATATATTTGGTTCTATTGTTCGTAGTGGACATGATTCTTGCATTGTAGAATGAGAAGGAACTTTATCTTTTATCTACGGAAACAAGATTTAACTGTTCCTGTTCATGTTTGTTGCTAATTATTTTTATTTCCAATTGTAAGCCTGGGAAGAAGAGGGTTGTATTAGGCAGCTGATAATAAGCATAAAATTTTGTCATATCTTATGAGCATGGATGAAAATTGTTCTTGTACCAATATCAATCTTTGGGCAGACTGACATAGTGCTGGTAGGGACCCTTACATCATGGGTCAGCATGGGTCGGTCCAACTAGAACAGGTCGGACGTGGACCTATTTAAAAAATCACCCTAAGCCTAAATATGGCTAAATAAGAAATTAGTAACATAAACTTTTGGCTAAACTTTGGTTAAATAATGAACTGAAATGTTTTTATTGAGTATTGCAAACCATATATGAAAAGAACATGTATTAAATTACATATAACTCCTAAACATGACACATGACACATGCAGTACAATCACATGAGTATATACTGGTCAATTACCATGCAGTGCTGGTAGGGACCCTTACATCATGGGTCAGCATGGGTCGGTCCAACTAGAACAGGTCGG